GTCTGTCTGACTGCGTGCGTCTGTCTGTCTGTCTGTCTGCGTGCGTCTGTCAGTCTGTCTGCGTGCGTCTGTCAGTCTGTCTGCGTGCGTCTGTCAGTCTGTCTGTCCGTCCATCTGTCCGTGTGCCTGTCTGTCTGTCTGTCTGCGTGCGTGCGTCCGTCCGTCTGGAGATGGAGGCCAGGAGCCCTTTATTCTGCTCAGCTACACATATGGAAGGGCTGTGCCTAAGAAGTCACTGTGGAGAAAAACAGATAAAAACTGTGAGTTCAGCAGTGTTTATATAAAACACAGAGCGGCACTAAAACACTGACACACACACACAGTTAGAGCAGCATACCTCAAGATGTGTGGCAGTTCTGGGCTTCTGTAGATGAACTTGTGCTTGAAGCCAAGGCTCATGGGAAAGGGGACAAACTGCACCTTGTGCCCATTCAGGCTTGTGGACTGGGCTGCGATGTTGTACAGCTGGGGGGGGGGACAGTGGAATTATGCGACTGGCACATTTTGGGTGAAGTTCCCTGCTGAACAATGGGAGCTGTGTTTATGGGGACGTTAGTGACAGTGTTCTTTAAAAACAGTGGATTTGGGCAGCAGATGAAGAAGCTTGATGTGTTCATGCACACTCACAGACACACACGCACATGCAGACACATAGGTTTGCAATTATATCTTTGTAGGAACCTTCCATTCATTTCTATGGGGAAAACTCTCCAGTCATTTCTACGGGCATAACTCTAATCCTAACTACAACAAGCCTCTACCCTTGTGAACAGATGACTCTAGGTACGTTTGATGGGTCGTGAGATGGAGAGTTGTAATAGCGATCCAAGCACCAACCTTCTTGCCGAGGTGGAAGGGTACAACACCATCATCTTCTGCATGGAGAATGAGCACTGGACAGGAGATGTGCAGCATGCTGGAGGGAACAACGTCACATGTCTGTTAGCCCAGGGGTGACCTCTGGAGACACGGTCAGCACATGGTTCAAGCACTCGGGAGGGGTGGTAATGTCCCTTAGGGCCTCCCCAGAATCAGCCTGCTACTTGGTTCAGTAGTTATGATTGTGTGTGTGTGTGTCAGGTAGTCCACTGGCCTAAGAGCAGCCCTTCTGTCTAGTGGAGTAGTTATCATAAGTGCACAGAGACAGACAAAGGTGGAGAATGAAGATGCCAACCTACTTTTCGTCGCTGGCAAACCGAATATCGTTGGCTGTTATGGCATCCAGGAAGAACCAGTCGAAGCCGGGCAGGAATCTGTAAACCTGGCATGAGAAAAGAAGATACCTTAAGACACAAACTCAGCGTGACCTGTTCTAGCTGAGGGTCAGGTAAGCGGGACCCCAGACACACAGGCTTATATGACACAGAGGATTGCTTGCTGGCTCAGAGCGAAGGCCATTGGGGTGTGGCAGACAGACGGTTTGAGATGGCTTGCCATGGAGAAAGGGTGGCTTTTGGCCTCCTCCCGTATGTTGGTGAACGGAGACTCCAAGATCATGGCGTCCGGCGGGGTCCCTGAAACAAAACGGCCATTTGGTCACCAGCAGCCAAAAACCAGATGCGGTGAAACCTCCAGCTGTCCCGCCGCCCCAAAAGATCACAGATCCCCCTTGATAACAGTCAGGATTCATTCTGAAGACCTGGGTTCACGGGAGACCTAAAGTTGGCAGCGTGAAAAATTCAACTCCAGGGAACTCAAGACGATACCGGAGATGAGCCTCACCGGCTAACTTTGTTCCACTGCTTCTGCATCAGTGTCTGGTTACACCGGCCCTTCTTCGAACCCGTTTCTAAGTGACCTTACGGCTGACCTATGTGCCGCACCACACCCACGAGGCCAAACAACGGAGGACTTGCTCACCTTTGTCAATTTCAAAAGAAACATGAAAGTTTAACGACCATAATTTCACAGCCTACTGCGTGATCGTTGGGTTAGAAAATGGCAGACAAACATGCTGGTTACAGTGATCCTGCCCTTGCATTTGAATATACTGTCCTTGCCAAACGCCCCACCCTCATAGAGCTTGTCTGTAACCTGAGGTATGACAGGCAGTACATGGTACCATAAAGGGGTAGTCCTCTTAACCTGACCCACAAAGATTCTGATAAGGGGCCCAATCTAGCGCCACTAACATACCACTGGTCTATCTTTGCAACATGGTTAAAAAATTGTCCTGTACATCAATGCTGCTGGAATGTTTCATTGAGTGGTTGACCTCCCATCTCCAAGAAGGCCCACATGGGCCCTGAATCCATGTCACATCTCAGTCATTATACACTCATGCCACACACTTACCTTTGTCACACAGATGACGGACCAGGTTTGTAGCAACCCTGGAAAAGAGAAATGGACACATCTCATTGGTCAAATGAGTCAGCCTTGCTGTGACGCAGGATCAGCCCCCCCTGCCCACTCACCCCGTGCCCAATGAGTGGCCCCAGATATAAAGTGACTTCTCCCCAATCCTCTTCTTCACCCACTGATAGAGGAAGAGTGCATCTGCGGTCATGCCTTTTTCCGAGGGGGTGCCCTCCGAGTCACCCCACCCTGAAAGAACAAACACAGTGTCACTAATACGATGCTGCCCCCCCCCCCCACCCCTGAAGGGCCTGATGATGCTAAACACGAGCCGTCTCTCCGTTCACACACTAACACTCACAGTCACCCATGTCACTCTAAAATATAACAATGATGCTCTTACCTCTATAGTCGAACGAAACCACATGAAAGCCCAATGAACTGAGGACCTTGGGGGGGCAGAAAATATTCTCTTTACACAGAGTATATTATTTCAATGTACTTAAATAGGACCACCCGCCCAGCAAAGCAATTAGCAGAAGATTAGACAAGTATGTACCTTATAGAGCTGGACTCTGTGGTCTCCCCCCCTGCAAGAGGCAGAAGCAACGTGTGAACAGGAAATTTAGGAAAATAACAGGAGTGTGTCTCAGAAGATGCTTTCCCACCACAGGAATCTTTTTCAGGAACCAGGAGCTTCTGTTGCATTCCCACCACAGAAGATTGATCTGATTGTAGCTCATCTGAAGCAGTTCCTGAACCTTTTTTAGTCCCTACTCCAGAGTAGGTCCTTTTCACTGGGGTGGGGTTTAAAGTGATAAACTTTGCTGATCGGTTGACAAGCACCGGCGCTAACTTGGAAGTTAGGTGGAGTACGGGGAAAAGAGACAGAAGTAGTGGTAAAATAATTGAGCAGATGGATCTTTTTGTATTCAGTTACATTTAATGTATTAATGAATACTTTTGTACTTGAGTCTCCATATTTCTGCATCGGAAAATTTAACCAATACTCTTCTGTCTAATATTGCTGGTGCTGACAGTGAAATTTGCCAGTGCTTATCAGTGGAATAATGTTACATTGTTTTATATTTTGTGGAAAACAAAAGATTGATTTGCTGGTGAGATTTAATAATGAATTATGAACATGTTGCGGGCCGCATAAATAAAATATAAAGAAATATGGAATTTGTCCCGAGTTTTAAGACCATGCAAGTTTTTTTTTTTGCATCTCCAATGCTTATTTAGGATATAGGTCCCAGTTCCTGTAGTACAGTAAGAAAGTGACACACTAAAGTGGCCAGAAGCTACAGAAGGTTCCTGTTGAGATGACCAAGGAACTCGGAACAAGGAACCAGGTTCCTGGACTTTGGTGTGAAAGGGAGCTGAGTGAACCAGGGGGTGCGTAGGGCTGGGTGTCGACGCACACGAGGCTGAGGCGTGTCTGGAAATTTCAAAAAGCAGATCGAGCGTGAGATCGAGGTATACGTGTGGGAGGGGGCGCTACCAAGGGGACAATGGAGTGTGTCAAAAAAAAATGACCAGTGCCCACAGCTGCCCGAAAATGAGTGCTGGAAATATCAACAGGCCTGCAGTAGATCAAGTGTGGTGGGGAAGGGGCTGGGCCTACCTGGTCCCAGCATTGCCATGCAGGTACAGGATGACTGGGTGCGAAGACTGGAAGGTGCCCTCGAACCACTGCAAGTCTTGTCCCTGTGCGTCCTTCCAGAGCTGGGCGGGGACCGTGTGCCTGGTGGGGGGTGCGGGTGGGGAGGGGTACTTTCAGCCATGAGGTGCGTTTACAACATTCAGCACATCGTTCACTGAACAGAGCAATAAGCTGAAACACATTGAGACCATCAGCATCCTCATGTCATCCTAATCTGACTCTGTGTCCCCATCCATGGTGTAGGACCCCTGATGGTAGAAGGGTTTTTCGTTGGAGTCCGTCCTTCCCATACTCATTGACTGTGTATCCCACATGGTCATAACCCCAGGTGACCCCGCGTACCCCTGAAATGCAGCGGCCCCTTGTAGGCCATGAGCTGTGTACCAGTTTGCTCTGACTCTTCCAGAACTCCCGCAACCCCTGGTCCACTCACCACGTGCCGATATTGACCCTGTCCTCAGGCTGCAGGTAGAAGTTACAGGTGTGGTTCAGGCCCTGGTCCTGCGGCCTCTTCAGGTCGATGAAATAGGGCACCCGCACTGCAGGGAAAAGGCGCCGTGGTGACCAGCATCAGCCGGCACACAGTCAGACCGCCATCTAAGTGTCTGCTTACAAAACTATTTCTGAAACCTTAATTGAACATCAGGCCAAGTGCTTTATCCATTGTAGCATCAGAAAAACATATGATAAGAGCACTGGAAGGGGACAAAGGAGATTAGCTTCCAAGGGCTGTCTGACTGCTGAAAATGACCTCTGGCCGGTCAGGAGGCAACGTGACACTGAAGAAGCAAAGGAACTCTGCAAGGGGAAGTTAGATAAACAGGGGCTCATGTGACTGGCAGGCTTCCCCCAGAATTCAGTGGTGGTGCATTATAAATAAGCCCACCGCCTTGACTGCATCCTCACCTCACTGAGCATGCTCATCGAGGGCCGCCCTTCAGCTCCCGAACACCTGTGTTTTAGGTCACTGCAGTAATTACCAGTCCCTGCGGATGCAGGGCAGTGCACCCCTCAGTGAGAAATGGCACCACCCCCCACCCCCTGTGGTTCTCTGGGATCGGTCACCATGGTGCCCTGGCTGAGATGAGCACAGCAACGCACCCATAACGTGATGCCAGATTGTAGCCGCAGCCATTTACCGATGAGACATAGATGCGTTTACCAATGAAATTTTACAGATGAACTCGCGGCTGTCATTGCTATGGTGATATCATTGTGGTCAGCTTTTTAATATTCAAAGACAATGCAGAGAATATTTCCACCCACTGTCCAGTTGAGCCATTTTAATTTCTGTCTGGGACAGATGAGCATCCAGCAAGGCAGAGCCACCTCTGGGGCTGGGGGCCTTTCTTATGACACCAGACAAAGGTTAATTATGTGTTTATCTGTGTTACCGGAAATACATTTTTGTCTCAAGGTTACTTTTTCAAAAACAGACACGGGCACATCATTTTTCATAAATGGCAAAATGTAACTGGGACAGTGTGATACTCTCTGGGTTAGGATGTGTGCCGGAGATCAGAAGGTCGCTGGTTCAAATCCCAGGGTTGGCACAGTCCTGGGGGTTGGCTGACCCTGCTTTCTTAATTGTACATCACTTTGGATAAAAGTATCGGCTAAATAAATATGGTCTGACCATCACTACCAAAGCATAAACACATAGACAGACAACTACAAATCAAAACAGAGAGGGGAGTGTAAATGTCTAAGATGTTTGTAAAGATCCGGTAAAACAAGTTTTGCTGCTCCTGCTTCGTCTGACTCACTGTCCAAAGCAAACCGGTGTTTGGGCTGACGGATAAAGCCCACTTTTGTTATCATGCAACTCGAGATGCTACCACCATCCCGACCGTCCCCAAGTCAAAGCTAAGAGAGAAATGGGGAGCCCTCAGTGCTCAGCGTCTCAGCGAGCAGAGCAGCATGTGACACTTTCCCAGGACATTTAGGCATTAGAGGAATAGCCCAAGTCATTTTCATTTGTTCTCTCTACATAAACAAATAACAGAACTAAATGTCGCATGACTGAGCCGAGTGACCAGCAAAGATTGCCGGCTGCTGAACGGGAAGTACGCAAAATGCTTGGATTCTGGCTGCTTGTTATTAAAAGTTTGTTCATTCCAAGCTCAAACCCCAGCAGACTCACTCCATTCTGAGAGTTATTCCCTCCACTGACCAACCAAAGCCGGCATCAGCTGGGGGGGCGGGGCCAGAGAGGACCTCTTCTCCCCACCCTGCACCTGCCCAGGGCCGTGTGGCATTTCCACTCCTCACATGTCCCCTTATTTTCTCTCACTTTTGTGAACTTGAAACTACCCATGTGACCTCATGCTGACGCAGGGATCGCCGCATGCATCAGATACATGGGTTCAGCTCAGCATCCTAGAGAGCAGGGCTGAGCGCTGGGGGGCATGCGGCCCATAGGGAAAGACCGGCAGATGGGCGACTGCGGCGCGAACTGCTCATTCGCAGAGACGGCCAATCAGCAATGAGCAAAAATCTTGCAACGCTGTAGCACCCCTGTGCTCCGACATTAAGTTCAAGAAATGAGAGTTGATTAAAATAGGAAATGAAACACTAGATCATCTCCGGGTGGTGCTTAAAAGAAGCGTTCGTTCCTCATCAGGACACGGATGCGTGACGTGAAGTTTACTTACCGAAATTTAAGAAGACCAGTTTTGCCTGAATGGATGGGCAGAGCTTGACGAGGATGGGAATGGCTAAGTATATGAACAGCAGCCAGAGAAGGATCCGCTTCAGCCGGGGGATCATGCCGGACCTGCAGCATACAGACACAGACACACAGCAGGTCAGGGGCCGGCCGGCATGCGTGCTCCTAGTGACTCCTAGTGACTCCTAGTGCCTCCTTCTGACATGATGCACACACTCCGCCGGTAAACCTTTGATTCTTGTTCTTTGAAATGGTGCCAGCATGTCTGAAAAAGGCTCATGGAACCATGATTCAGTTCAGTTTCATTGCCTGCCTCCTGACACAGTGAGTCTGGCAGGGGGGGGGGGCACGTAGACAGGACGACGGGCTGCCTTGACAATGACGGAAGACCCCGGCCAGATGCCAAGGTTTAACCCTGATGACGAGCACCCTCCCACTTCGTGGCCTGCTGACTGATACCCCTGAGGACGAGACCAGGGAGCCTCCTTCCCCTAGGAAACAGGCATCCACTGACCACCCTCGCCGTGTGAGATAATAGATGCCGAATGGGGAAGCCGGTTGCCTCCCCGTGTTTCACTACCATACGGCTGTGCATGGGGGGATTCTCACTTTTCCTGCATGTGGAAATAGAAATGGCCCACCTTGCCCACCTGGAGTGCTGTCCTACAGCCCATGCGCTCCCTGAGGGACAGACCTCCTACTGCTCACACGAGGATGCCACATTTCCCCCAAATGAAGGCCAACTGGAACTCTCCCTCGTTCCATGGCAGCAATTACGTTCTCCCCACTTCTAGAACAATGAAAAAAAGGCTCCAGCCATGCTGCTGTCCAGTCATTTTGGCTCGATTCGGCATGTTTATCAACAATTAAAGCATTCAAATTCCAAATCACCTTCACCGTTTGAAGAGAAATAAACACAATGTCCTCTCATACATTCAGATCAGTGAACCCACAGAAAGAGTCCGAATGCAGCCCAACTTGAAGAGGCTGTATGACAGATCTGCTTCAAACAAAAGAAGGCCAAGGAGAAGCCATTTTGTTTATGTATTGACATACTAACCAGAAACAAGCAGGCAGGACATCAAAACTAAAGGCAACACTTTAGTAGTCAGTTACGACTATTACATTTTTTTCTTCCCATTCAAAACATCCAAGAATTCCAGTTTACTTGGAGATAACTGATTTCTTGTTCAGCCCACAGTTGAAAACAACAATTCAAAAGCAATAGACGTAAACAAGAATGTAAAAGGAATGTAAATAAGCATGTGAGAAATGTTTCAAAAACTGTCAAGTGCTTGCTAGTGTCTTTGTCATTAATGACATTTAAGCGATGTCATTTAACAATGCCTTCCCCAGTGTTTTCGGGGTTGCTAGGTAACAGCTAGTGACTGCCGTATGAGCCAAATAAACCTTTTTTAGATGACACAACCCCAAACAGTTGGGTTTGGCCCAAGGATTAAGTGACTAAGTGATTTTGATTGGTAAAAAAAACATGTTTCCTTCATTACATAAATTGTTATATGCAACACAAATTAAGTAGAGTACTAGATTAAAACAACAAGACCACAGATTTTCACACTACAGTATGTGGGTCCCAGGCAGTCGCAGAGACTCTATGCTAGAGCCCATCAGCCAGCAGAGCAGATTGGGTTGGGGGGGCAGGTGCAGATACACGGTTGAAGTGTTTCAGCAACCTACTGTCAGCATCTTTGCGGAGCAGCTTGATCACCCTGACAACCGGCGCATGTCACGCGTACCTGCCGCCCGCTGGCGGGGCTCATCCGATGCCAGAGTGTGGCGCCAGCAAGAGGCATGACCAGACAGTCACAGCCACAACCACCACACGGCTTTTAACATTCATTAGCTGCTCTGTGCATAGCTGACACACTGCCACGCCATTGGCTGGGGCTGTGCAGGCCCATTACGATCCCACAAATCAGAGACCACACTGGAAACACACCTTGACTATTCTGCTGATCACTTAAAGGTGAGCCGTTGATTCCTGTACAGGATCTCTTGGACAAAGAAATGTGTTGACAAAAGGATACATTTTGCAATGTGAATTCCTGGGTTTTTTCTTTTTGCAGTTGCTTTGTACAGAGCTGTCTAACCCTAAAACACTATGTATAACTCAGGGTATCTGTGGCAAAGAGCAGTGAGGCCAGGGTAAATGGTCAAAGGTCAACGTAAAACGACACAGTGCACTGTAATCAGGCTCTCAAAAGCTTCAGCTCCCTGCTACCCAGTGGCAGAGGAGACCCAGAGGGTTAGACAACAGCATGCCGGGGAAGCCCCATCTTCGGCATTACATCATTTCCTACACTGATGACTTTTGGTGTGCAAATTCAAACATTTGTCAAGATGACCTTAATCACTGAGCATTGTGGGAAAACTTAAATGTTACTAAGAAAAGTGTTTATCCTCTCCTCCTAGCCCAGTCACCCAGAACAGAACAAGGAAAAGTACGAAAGCCGTGGCACAACCGATGGGCAGCTGCGAACGAGCAATCAAAGCGACACACCCTCCAAGTGGACAGGAACAACTCTTCCACCTCCTGTAGGGCAGCATGGATCAAGGACAAAATCCTGAGCCAACAGGACACCATGGCACCACTCACTGTTAACGGTCACCATGCAGGTCCTGACCCAGGGTCTGCTACCTACTTATCGACTGAAGGAACGCTCCAGTGCCAGGGCCCGATGCAGATTTTAAAATTCTGATGACCCATAATATCAGTTACTATAATTGTATAAGGTTTAAAAAAATCACATGTATAAGGTTAAAATCACAAATAGCTTTAAATAGTGCTCTGCTGCCTGGTGTAATTTGTCAAGTTCAAACAAACAGCAAAAACTCTTTAAAACAGCTTTAAAATTTTAATATGAAACAAGCCAGCTTTACAAGTTAACCTGAAAACAAGTAAATAAGAATGTTGAGCTCTCAAAGAGCAAATGTTGTACTTTAAAAGCACCTTACAAATAAACCGTGTTCATACTTAAAAATAAAAAACAAAACACTTTTGAGACCTGTGTGATATAATGCAATATTTCCATTCATAGTCAATAGCCACTTATTTATGTGACTATTAGTACAGATTGTTATTGGAGCCCTTTCTGCATTTTTGGCTCCTTCATTATTCAGCATATGTGTTTTTCACTGTTTGTTGGTAGTCTTATCCTCTGCCCCTTTAGTGCCTGTTTTTGCATTAGTTAAGCGCAGTGTCCTTTTCCTCCCGGCTAGGCGTAGGAAAGGTAGAGTCTGTACGTCATGTAGATGTCCGTTTTTGCTTGTTGTTTTTGCTAAATTCTTCCCCGTCACTTGCTGTGTTTCAAATCACTGCAAATCAAACTAACATCGAAAACATTTTCCCCAGAGTCGTTACCACACTGACATAGTGGTGACTTGTAATATAGGAAGTATCTTCAGTGAGACAGCTCCTGACCTCATCATAAATGTATAAGGACACATTATTCATGGGTTTTCCATCAATGCCAATTAATTAGTATAACCTTAATTTCAGCTAGTTTTATTGACAACTGAGTGGTGGATCCCTAGTCAATACTGTGGGACACCAGAATGCAAGGACTAAGTGGCAAGTGTTCAACACACTGTGACACTGAGGTGTCACTAAACGCACCTGGGCTCCGCCCCCATTTCGCCACCCAAGAATGTAGACTGGGGGCATCATTTGTCAGGGGTAGATTGAAGTCTGTGTGGAGGGGGGACCCATATCACCTTAAGACAGAGACATCAGCAAGGACTTCAGGGGACTGATATCCCATAAGAATCTTTCAGAATTATGCTCGAGAGGGGTTGGCATCATGCCAGGCAGGTCGAACAATAGCTGAAATGTCACCTTGCTGATGACAAGCCGTCTTCCCGCAGGGGCCCGCGTGTAACAACCCGTGACAACTCAGCACTGTGCCACTGGTTCCTCTACTTCTCAAGCTCCCCAGAGGATGGGCGATTATCATGCGGGTGCGGCACGCTGCCTGCGAATGAGCGTGACAGCGTGACAGACTCCAGGGCCTGGAGTTCTGAGAAGGATGCCCATAAAAGTTAATGGCCTTTATCCTTAAAGACTTTCCTCTGCATTAGGCTTCAACATCCTCATTTGCAAAAGGCGTCAGCGTGAACCTAGAAATAGTGTGATGGCCAAGGATGTCCATTCAGATGGCCACTGCAGCAACACAGCCAAACGGCTCATGGAGCCTGTTATTAAAAGGCACAAAATAAGCCTGTCGGGCTGGACTTATCCTGACATGAGCGGGTGAGACATAGTGACTCAGACATGCTACGGAAAAGACTCACCACAGTCAGAGCGTCAAACATACTCCGGGGTTTCAGTTCTGCTTAAGAGGAGACTGCTCCCCTAAGGCGGTCATTAGCATGGGGAACTGCCAAAATCCTTTCTTCCAAAGCATCTATGCATTTAAAGGAACATTTCTCACAAGGATGCTGAAAAGGCAACATATACAAATGTCAGGCCTGTTAGATCAGAGGACCCAAACTGAATACCCCCTAGGCAAAGCCGCCTTCCTGGGGTTCAGGGAATCACCCTTGACCTCACCAATCTCCATAGGTTCAGCAGTACTAACATGGCATCATTACGCCACATCTTGGATAATGGATCCTGTAATTATCAACCAACAATGAAACCAGCCACATATTTAAGCCAACCATCCCCAGTCAGTGTGATGCATTGGGGAAGAAAAAAAAATTACAAGATTTTAGCTGGGCATTACTGCGCAAAGCTGACACCAGGAGGAGCAACATTTCTATACTCATCCCCAGCTTCATTACACTCCCGTCAGTGGTAACCTCATTCTGTCTCCAGCTCTCAGGAGTCCCGTGCTGTGCCTTGCCGCCTCTTCCTGTGGGATTACTCCCCCCCCCACTGCCTGAGATCAGCTTTGCGAGGTGACCGTGTCAAATCTCGACGGCCAGAAGGCTGCAGTGCCCTAATAAGGGTCAGCATTTAAGGTCAGACACACATGCTAATTAAGACTGGGCTCAAGTCTTAATTACAATTGTGCTGGAGAACTTGCCATGCACCCTGACAGGGAAGTGCAAGGTGGTACATTCAAAGCACAGATACTGAGGTTGGGCCAGTAACATAACCACTAAGTAACTTTTCCAATTATCAGGGAAACGAAGGGGGCTTATGTCCTCGCAGAGCCCTGCTTTATGACGATACAGTACAGCAGTGCCTTTTGGTCAGGCATACTTGTCTACGGCACCAAACTCATCACACAGAAACACCAGGGAGCTCTGATCTGCTGGAGATTCATTGCTGCGAGTCACTGAGCTTGAATGGGCCCTCAACCTGCACTGAAGCACTTCAGCCTTTGCCTTAATTGCGATCAATTCCATGACCTACTCAAGTTACCTTGGCTCTCCTGTCCTGCATCAACCTCCACAGCAGAGTACCAGCTGGAGACCATGTTTTGCAATGCCTAACCCCCACTCAGTTTTTAGCTTTCTGACATGACCAGTGGCTGCTGCTGGCTAAAAAAGATGAGGTAAGAAGATAATACATTTTACAATATTACAATAGTAAATTTTTCCAAAGAGGGAAAATGTTTCTTTAAATGACAAATGACCTCTATCACAACAATATCTTTGCATCCTTTCATTGGCTTTCACATGGATTCACAATACCCAATCCAAATATGCTGAGCACGACTTCTTTGGATGGTTCTCTTACACCAATTTCAACTTTGACAGGTTCAATCCCTATCATTTATAATCAGATTCATTCTTTGCCTTCTGAACCCTTAGACTCCTTAAAAGCTCTTTGGGTGGAGGATTTTGGGCAAATAAGACCTGAAGAGCTGTGGAGGGAAATTTGTTAGGCATGTACACCAATGTATCTATGCCTGACAGGGCATTATTCAACGCAAAACTCCTCACTGCATGTATTATACTAAAACTCAACTGCTTTTACTAAGATTTACAGAGGTTTATCTCCAGTATGTGACTGGTGTCAGCAATCTCCAGCACATTTGTTACATATGTCTTGGTCCTGTCCATCATTGTTTTATTATTGGACTGACATTTTTAAAACACTCTCAGAGGTACTTGGAGAAGAATTAGAACCAAATGTCTCAATGTTCCTATTTGGTGTCACTCCCCTTTTACCCTTGCTTCTTGCTTCTAAAAAGAATGTCATTGCTTTTGTCACGCTACTTGCTAGATAGCTAATTCTAATCGGAAGCTACCTGCACCTCCTTTTTATTCTTGTTGGATTAAAGATTTTATGCTATATCAGATTGGAAGAAAATAAGTTTACAGTTAGTGCTTCATTAAATAAGTTTAGGAAGATCTGGGGCTCCTTTCCCACATTATCTCCCTGTTCAACATGAGGCACACTGGTTAGAATGGTGGTGCTGGTAGTTGCTGATTGTCTGACTGAGGCATTCTTTTTTCCTATCTTTGTTGTTCATGTGTTACATTGTATATTGTGGTTTATTGCTTATTATCCCAAGGCTTTAAGTTATAATTCATGTGAATTAGAAGTTTGTTGTGTCATAATTCTAATCCTTTTGTCATTCACCCATTCTAAAAGTACATGCTGTAGTTGTATACATTTAACAGTTGGGGAGGCAAAGAAAATTGGTATTAGCTAGTGGCATGCAACAAATAAATTGATGGATGAATGGTTGGCTGGATGGATGTACAGATACTGACAAAATATTATTTAAGTTAACTAATGTTCAAGGGGCCCATTTGAACGTGTCCAGGTCTCACAGTAACCTGAGTGCCCTAGAGGCTGGTTCAGCACTGTATCAGAGGCTTGTAGGTTATGTTTTACCACACTATAAGTAGCACTCTTGGAGAAGGGAATTACTCACAAAATTCTCAGCATCTTAATAAATTATCTGGCCACCAAATTAATGGTCTGATTAAATATGTAGTTACGTAAGGTCTTTACTATAAACTGCCAGCCATAGGATTGCAAGACTGAAAGTTAGTCCCCTGCTGTCTTTCACTCTGTCCTCCATATCATTGAAAATGTCTTCACATTGCATCCCATTACAAAATGTTCAATAAAAATAATAAAAGTACAATGTTTAGTTTAGACAGTTGAAAAATGAGAAATGGAAAATCACTCTTCAGAAGGAGGTGCTTACTGTACTGTACATATCCCTGGAGATCCTCTGTTCACTAAATTTAAAAAAATAACCAAAACCTTTTTTTCCAGGTGGGGCTGTACCAGCATCACAGACAAAAATATCATGAAACATATCTACAGAAGACCTTTAATGACCAGCCCTCATCACAGCTCTCAATATACATGAACCTACGTTATACCTGTCAAATAATATCTTCTCCTAACGTGAAGGCTACAGTACTGAAAGGATCAGTGTTATTCTGAATATGCTCATGATAGATCAATGTTCAGATAATGACCCAGATGAGTCCACCAAAACACTTAGCAAAGGCGTAGGTAATACTCTTATCCCACTCCACCCCGATGAAAACGTGCTAATATCAGAAATCTTATCTTGGGTGTATTTAATGACGAGTGCTTTTTCGCTTATTAGATATGACAATGTTTCATTTGCTTCTGCTTTATAGTAAATTATAATCACCACCAAGACCCTCGTGTGCCCCGTTTCCAATAATTTCTATTCAGTTTTAATGAACGCTGTTGTCACTTTTAGATTTACATGATGCTTAGTGTAAATGCAAAAAAAAAAAACGCTATAATTGCAACAAGGAACTGTATTTAAAGGTACAATACTTACATCCCCAGCCAGAGTCGTTGGACCGCCAAAATACGTGGGCACTTCAGAACGAGGCAGCATTTTATATATATTGCGAAAGGATTTATCAGCTTCTTGACGATATCATTAAACACTGCGCTTACGCGAGTAACCGGTTGATAAGGCAATGACACATTTCGTATCCGGCAGCGAGAGCAAATGAACTTCTAAAGATAGAAAGGCAGAAAATGCGTAAAACATTTTTCTACGGCATAATTTAAAGACCCAAATCCCGTAATAGCATGGTTTCAATGAAATGTGCTATTTGGTATCTAAATATATGGGGCAAGTTTTACACGACGCAATAGCCAGCAGAAGTTAATTGCATTAACCCGTGAAAAGCGTGAGCGATTTTCTCTCCATTCTAGGTCCAGCCGCCTTACCTTCTTCTCCTCCCCATCTCCTTCTGCGAATCCAGATCCACCGGATCGAAGGCAGCTTCGGGTCCCTGGTCGCCTTCCCCTTTCGTCTGACAGTATTTCAGACCCCGACTTGTGTCCAGTAGCGTGTTAGTAAGGGAGCTGTCATGGTCCGCGGCAACAGAAGTATTCCGCTTTCGCATCCCTGCAATTTTAAGGAGCAACTAAGAAGCGAAAAGACACTATAAATTCAACAGAGATAATGATCTTTTTTTAAAAAAACTGCGATTGTATGGTACGTGGGCGAGCGTTGAATAGTGCGGTAAGTGTTACAAGGGCAGCCGCGATGCTGCTGTTTCCTCCAGCAGCGCAGCTGACACTCAGCACTTCACTACATCGTTTCACAGGAATCCCGGTATCTGCAGAGACCAGCTGATCGTTGCGACCTTTCGCCCAAGTCTGCGCTTCGGCCAATCAGAGCCGATTCGCCGCCATTTTTGTGAGGGGCACAAGCGGCACTGCGGGGCTTCGGCTCGTAGGAAGTTACTGTGCTGCTTCCGCGAATTTAACGCAATGTATTATTGAGTGTTTGTTAGTTATATGGGTACAATAATATAAGACGTCAATAAAAACTCACTGTAGTACAAAAAGTACTGATTGTTTGCGAACTGTTTTGCTAAGTAGAAAATTACAGCAATTGTACATTCTATCAACATTCTGTAATCTCAATGATAAACCGACTGAATATCAGAGAAATATCTTCATACTGTGCTATTTTTCCTGTCTGTGTTGTCCCATGGTATTTCATACTCTACCCTAGCGATCCATAAATATTCACACTCCACGTAACACACAAGCCTTACCTTGTAGTCAGTCGATAAAGCAGATGAACACTCTGTGTACCTATATTATATTTAACTTAAAACAATATTTTAGAGAAACAATATAATATTACCCGTCAGTATGGCGGTTAATACATCGACTGATAACTGCTACTAATCGCGGTCATCAGTCCGTCACGAGTAATCGCTTCATTTTAGGGTTTTGGAATAACGCGGAGAGTTTGACAGAGTGGCTCTACCATTGACACACCTACTTTGCAAACGGTTCGGGACGTTGATACGGTTTGTCTTGTAACAGGATCCGTAGTTTCCGTCGACGTTGTGTATTAGAATTCTGCCGCGAAATTGTGTGGTATTTACATTTACACTGTTAGGGAAAGTATTTCTGCTTTCATTCTCCTTGCGAGAATAAATAGTTATTTACCTTTCGAAAGGTAGCCCTTTTCCGCTGAGGTTTTTAAATCGGCGAGTTTCTAATATGTTTTGTGAAAAGGGAGTTGAACTGATCAAGGAGCTTCACCTCCTGGGAGATGGGCAGTTGTCTGCCTTCAATGTGAGTTTATCGTGCTTTTCCGATGCGTCAGGGGTGTATTATTTCACCGATCTCTTCTGCCACGTATTATGATTACAGTCTTAAACTACACAGTTGTATTCAAAACAGTTGTATATACAGAAATATAAATGCACTTTATTGATCCGAAGATTTCATGACTCTCGAACACTAGGTTCAAATTTCACGGAATACATTGACTTTGCTGTGATTCCTCCTACTTCCCACACAGGAAGATGGAATTCGGCAGGTACTTGATGAAATGAAGGCGTTATATGAACAAAATCAGAGTGATGTGTAAGTGTTAATTCGCTTTTATTTTCGCGTATTGTTTTATCGATAATTTCTATGTATCATATTAATATACGTTGCATACTTTGTCACGTTATTGACGTTGCTCTTATTTCTGTCATTAGGAATGAAGCAAAATCAGAAGGCAAAAGTGAATTGATTCCAACTATTAAGTTCCGGCACACCTGTCTGCTAAGAAACCAGCGCTGTGTCGCAGCCTATCTGTAGGTATTTTGCGGTATACCCTTTACGCCAAGGGTCACTACATCTCAATTAATCAAATTTAAGAATAACTTCATACTTGACCACCTCACATTTACCTGAAGAAATTCCAGGGGAAGATATGCTTCTGAATAGGACAGGTACACATTTGCTGGTCTCTTGTTATTAGTTTTCTCAAAAATATTTAAGGGATGGGGCTGCTTTTAGGCCTAGTTCTAGAATTGTGTATTGATGGGCCATTTTAAAATTGCGATATTTAGGAAAAATACTTGAGCTAGGCCTTTCAAAGAATTTAGGGTAAATATCTGTACTGTGATTTTTTGAATATGATTTGTGATGGTGTTTTCTTTATTTTTCCCAAAATAATTTTTTTGAAATATCTCTGTATTTGTGTACTGTGGCCTCTAAGTGTGTATTCTAACACTTGTAAAAAGCAATGCTTTCCAGATAGTAATGCTTAAATTTCACACAGTGCTTCTTATATACTAGTTAAAATGTGAAAGCCCTAATGATATGGTTGATCATCACAAATTTTGGATATAATTATTAACTGACAAAAAATGTCAGTTGGATGAAAATGTTTTTTGTTTTGTTCATATTTAAGCTTTAATCTCCAGAACTAATAGTACCAGATATTTACCTTATAAAATTTAAATGGCCTACCTCAAGTATTTCTCTAGATATTGCAGTTTGTAAATGGGCCCTCAAAACAAAATGCTAGAAAAAGGCCTGAAGACACCCCACCTCCTAAAAAGAAATTGAGAAAACTACTGACAATCGAGACCTTAAATTTTGTATTTTCCCTATTAGGAAGTACATCTTCCCCTGGAATGAACTGATGTGGAATGTATTTTAGTTTTTAATGTGACTGCCTTGTCCTTTTTTGCTATTACATACTCCCAACCTCCATCCCCAGCTATGACAGACTCCTGCGCATCCGAGCACTAAGGTGGGAGTATGGAAGTGTGTTGCCAGCATCTATCCGGTTCCACATGTGTGCAGAGGAGGTGAGAATCAATTCCATTAAGCAGCATTGAAGGTGTTTTTCCTTCCACCCAGTTCTATAGTAATGGGAGTGCAGTATGAAGCAAGGATTCCTACTTCCTGAATAAATGCTGTGCCGATCATTGGTACTACATTCAATGCATATTTAACTGGTGATGTGTTCCACATCCCACATAGTTGGATATATATATATATATATATATATGTATGAGTGTGTGTGTATAATATATACATATATAATGTACATGTATGTGTGTATGTATAAACTGGTGATGTGCTCCACATCCTTCCCAGTTGGAATGGTTCAACCAGTACAAGAAGTCCCTGGCCATGTATATGAGGTCATTAGGGGGAGAGGAAGGCCTTGACATCACTCAGGACATGAAGCCACCCAAGAGTTTGTATATAGAGGTAAGAACTTGTTGTGTATCATTGCTAGTTTCTGTAGCTAGTAGTGTAGGGGGGGGGGTCCCTAGACAACCAGCATCTTTCCTTTTCATTCTTTGTGGGTGCTTAAGCTTCTGGCCCCTGTTATTTTGTTTGTTCCGTACAGGTTCGTTGTTTGAAGGACCATGGAGAGTTTGAAATAGATGATGGCACAATCATTCTTCTGAAGAAAAACAGCCAGGTGAGGAAATGGAAGAGTTGTCCCCTGAAACTGAGATGAAAGGAAAGCACTATCTGTTCTGTTAGTCTCCTAACAAATTGATTATTTTGATTGGTTCAGTGAAATGGATTTGGTAAAGTTATTCATTACCTAATTACCTTGAAGGTCGGTGCTGCAGTATACAAGTTCTGCCTTCTTCCTTCATAGCACTTTCTTCCACGGTGGAAGTGTGAGCAGCTGATTCGTCAAGGAGTACTGGAGCATGTGATCTCTTGAGTCAGTCAGGAGTGCTCTCACCTTACTCTACTGAAATGTCACAGCAAGTGCAGAATAGGCATTTCCCAGCCTGCACTCCATCAGTGTTTAACAGGAAGAATTTGTGGTTTTCTGACATATCTGCAACTGTATAATACCTGCATCTGTGAAAGGAGAACTTATTGGAAAGATGATGCTTGCGCTGACTTTGGGCTGCTTCTTGTATGTAGCACTTTGATATTTTCTAATAAAATGTTTTTACATTCTCCATGCTTGCCAGTTACGTTAAATACTATTCAAACATTTATTTTTCAGTAACAATGCAAGATTAAAATGCTGCAGCTGGACTGTATCAAAACTGTACATTTTATAGGTGCAGAAATTAAATAACACTTAAAAATCGGTTCTCTTTGCCAGAGAGAAGTGTGGAGTAAGGTACAACTGCTGCTGGCTCATAAATACTGGTTGGCCCGTGAAATACTCATAGGGAATCTGCTGTAGTGATGACAGTCAGGGGCACGGCCCTCTGCTCACCCTAAGAAAGCAGGCAGCATACTGAGCTAGGTAATGTGTTATTGCCACATTACTGATTCTAATATGAGGAAAAACCACATTAAGGCTGTCTGCCATCGCAGTATGACATCATACTTTTCTGTGGCTGGAGCCTCTATGCTGTGCAGGTGAACATATGAATCTGCAGAGATGGATGACTGCGGTATCAGTCATCCATCGCTGCACCGTCAGAGCTCTGAGGCTTCAGATTCTGGAGCATTACATTGACGAGGGCTACGTGCTAAAGGCAGCAGGGGCCACCCTCCGCAGCAGCATGTTGAGGGCACCGATCTTCTCCTCCAGTAGGTAGTTCTTCCTCTCTGCGCTCTTCTGCCACTGCTCTGTCACCTGCAGTGCCTTCACCAGCTGTGCGTTCTCTACATACAGTTCCTTCAGCAGCACGTCTGACTTGGTGCTCTTGCATAGCTGGGGTGGGTGAGGGTAACGGTTACCTGGGATTCTCAGTAAGTCTGCAACCCCCCTCCAGCTCACCCCCCCAGTCATTTGTTGATTTAGATATAAATACTCTAGGCTGATGACATGTGTAATACTTGACCTAACCTGGGATTTACCTGCTCCTTGAGCTGGTTCACCTTCTCCTGCAGCACTAAACGGACATTCTTCAGTTTAATCTCTACTTCCTCAATCTTCTCCTCCATCAGTCTCCTCGCCTTTTCATACTGCTCCTGAACATAACAGTAAAAACGTATTCCAATCCTGACCATAACCGGCCATCAACAGATCTGAGCCCATCACAGGCCCCCGGCGCATGGTCAGCCAATGCCCACACTGCGGCCCCACCTGTTGCAGGCTCATCTGCACACTGGCCTGCCGGGCCTGCTGGTTTAGCTGCTCCTCCAGCTGCTGGCCACGCCACTTCTCCCCGGCCAGCTGCGTGTAAAGCTGCCCCAGCTGCTCTTGGGCCTCTTGGCTGATGCGCTCGCTCTGCAGCTGCAGCTCACAGGCATGCTGTGACTGCGCCAGGGCCAGGGCTGTGTCTGCATGCCGGCCCTGCATTGGTGGGGAACACAACAGTGTCACGGTTACTGTACCACAGGTCAACAGACAAGCAAGATAGAGAAGAGTAAAGTTTGTGACCCTAACCCTAATCCAGAGGGTTTGGACAAAATGATTCAACTTCAAACAGGAGTGGTGATTTTCTATGGTAACTTCAGGCTGAGTGCCTGTATGTTGGTTGCATAAATTATGTAAGTTAGCTTTAATTTATGGTTCATTCATAAATATTTTAGCCCTTTTCACAATATCTTAAAAAAACACATTTACTGCTATTTTAACTCTAACCTGGTCCTCAAGCTGCAGGAGCTGCTTCTCCAGCTGGGCCAGCTTGGCCTTCAGTGTCAGACTCTCCTGGGTCACCCTCTGCACCTCAGCCTCCTGCAGTTGTAGCTGGCTCACCTGGGAGACGCACGGGGCCAAGGCATAAAACAGCCGTAATGCTTAAGTCCTTCACCTGAGTCATTGGTTTGCTGGTCACTGGGGAGCTGAATCGTTACTTAGTCACCATTTGCTGTGGATATCCTGGTGGTCAGATGTTACGACGCTGCTCAGACAGTGAGGGGTTAATAGCATGTGTTCAAACTCGGCTCTGTTCCTTCAGAGCCAATGAGCGTTGCTAGTCTGCAATGTGTCTATCGGTGAACATGAGAGCAGCTCCTCGCACTAGTGGTGGGCTGCAGTACCTTTTGGAGCATCTCCTGGTTCTGGGACTGGAGGCTCTGGCACTCCCTTGTCAGGGCCTGGGCCTCCTGCGCCTCCTCCTGCCGCCGAGTGCAGCTCAGCTGCTCCTTCTCACTGCGTAGCTTCTCCACAGTGGCCTCCAGCTCCTGCACCTGAAGCACAGATCGCATCAACATTAAAACATCCAGCAGTTCTGGGCACTAGTTGGTTACCTTGTTCTTACAGTACTTTTCCACTGGCACCAAGAGCCGAGCAATACCCAGGTTGTACTGCGAACTACTGGATTTCCCATTGCAAAGAATGCAAGCCGTAACATAAGATAGGGATTCTCACAGACTTGCTAGCGGGCATTAGCACGTAGTAAATCATGAGGTACACCGTGTGAACAGAGAAGCATCTGTTGGGTTTTATGTCACTGTCACTCCAGATCTGGTAACGCCTTTACCAAGCCAGCTCTTTTGCAATGGAAAACCGAAGCAAGGTCATGTCACGGCACTCCATCTCCTTTGTTCGCAAAATAATACTAACAACATAAACCTAAGCACATCAAGGTTATCTTGTTGGAAACCAAATGATTTTTAGTAAGTGTGTCCAGACTTTTGACTAGAACTGTACATTAATCCTAGAAAGACCATCACTACACACAACAAATCCAATGCCAGCTATTAACATCTTGCAACTAAGAGAGGCTGGAGGGAGGCAAATGCTTAAGACACTAACACAGAAGGGAAGACTGAACAAAAATGGAGAGGAAAAGCTGAGTGGCAGATTCGTAATTCTGTGACACGCAGCCCCATTATCTCTCATAAGCAGCCAGCTAGCCGGGCAAATAGGCAATTCAGCACAAAAAGTCTCCCTATTCAGAGCAGAAGTATCAGACTGACAACTAATGGATCAGTCACCAGATAATCCTAAAAGCAGCAGTTCCACGATAACAGGAAAAATGTCTGAGGTCCTAAGTAAAACCTTCCGTGCCCCGAGTGATATGCAGGAGCTCGATTCAATACTCAGAGTTTTTACTGCATGTTGGGCTGGGCATGGTAATTAGCGTTTCCCTCAGTGATTAATCTGACTGGTAGGATGTATCTGATCACAGCAAACACCAGTGGCCTCTTGCCTCCAGCTTGTACTGTAACAATGAAACCTCACAAACGGCAGCGCTGACCTTGTCCCGGGCTTCCTGCAGCATCTTCTGGTGGGACGCCAACTCTTGAGCCCGGAGAGCTCTGTCCAGGCTAACAGCCTGGAGCTCAGAGCGCAGCTGCTCCGCCTCGGTGCTGAGGGACCACAGTGACTCCTGGAGCTGCTCAGCCTGTCAGGACCCACACACACTGCACAGGTCAGTCACAGAGCAAGAACAGTGTGCTTAACACAGCTCCCCCCCCCAGTGCCTCACCTTCATGGTGTGCTCCTCCAGCTCCTTCTGCTGCCTCCGCGTTTCCTGCTCCAGGTACTGATGCTTCAGCGTCAGCCCAGCCAGCTCTGACTCCATGGCCGGCAGATTCTGGAGCTGCAGTTCACCAAGGCAACAGATGTAGGTAACGAGAACCTTCCCAAGGCAGGACCCCCCCTCCAGTACACGGCACCTTGTCCCTGGCTGCTTGCAGCTCCTCCTCCAGCCCGTGTAGCTCCCGCTCCCGCTGGTTGGATATCTGCTGCAGCTGCTGCGCTGTGGCCGCCGTCTCGTCACGCTCCCGCGACAACCGCTCTGTGAACTCTGCCTGTATGCGTGCAGCATCCTGCTCAGACTGTAGCTGTGCGCTCAGCTTCACATTCTCTTCGCTCAGCTGCAGGTTCCGGCTACTCAGCTGCAGGGATTCCTCACGATGCCCGGAGTTCTGAAGACAGAAGGGCCATTTGGGAACCCAGAATGCCCAAGCCAGTCGCTGAACCACCAAGAATTCCCATTACAAACCACTGCACATCAAGATAACGTTTGCCATTTATGACCAGAACAGGTCACATGACCATGGAGGATGGCAGAGTGGTTGTAGGCTCAAACCACGCCTTGCATGTGGGCAGCTGGGATGTATGCATGCATGTATGAATGGATGGATTGGCTGTATAATGGAGGAACACATAAGTCAGCGATTTTGACTTGCCTCCTTATACAGCCTCTCCACTTCCTCCCGGTTCTGCTCGTGTTCCTTTTCCATCGCTTCCAGTTTCTTCCTAGACAATCAACATGAAAGCAAAAGCTGTTGTGGCTTTACTCCTAAATATGGATCCCATGCAACCAAGGATGGACTAACTGAAGAACATGCAGTGGGGTTCCTGGTAGTATTCAGACAGGGCAGTGACACCCAGTTTCCCCAAACAGCACGGGATCCGCCAGACAGAGCGCTCCGTCTGCTTTACCTCTTCCTGTCAACTTCTTCTTGCAGCCTCTGCATGTCCTGCTGCAACATGCAGTGCCGGCTCTTCAGCACTGCGTTTTCTGCAGCGACCTCATCAAGCTGCACTCTGGTGGGAAAGGGGCCACGTTACTCTCAACAGATACTTATCAACTGATCAACCATGCACCACCGCAAGTGCACATCATACAGGAGAGAAAAATATTTATTTTTAGCATTGATTTAACAAGGCATTTCCAGATTAACCTGAGCAGGTTTTGCCATCATGTACCAATGCAGATTAGTTGTATACAAGAAAAAAAAAAGACAAATCATGGCTTAGTGTGGTTATCAATACAAAAGAAACCCATGCATATCAGTCAACAGGTTATATTAGCAAGATGCTAAAGTATTAATGCATTACACACTCCTGTGTTTGACGCAGCCTGTCTGCGTGCTTGCTACCACAGTGAAGGTTAGCGACTCTTGGGGATAAAAACCTTGTTACGTCACTGACAGTTAGTAGCATAATAGTCACTTGGAGAGGAAAAAAAAGGAAGAAGGCACAGCGCTGCAAGGCCTCCACTGCAGGCAGCTTCTTCCTTTGAGGCAGATGCATGTTAGTCATTTGTTTTTTTGTTTTCTGAGCTACCGGTCTGCAGATCACAAACCTGTTAGGACCAGT